TTGAAGAAAAGATGGAAAAAAAGAGACATGAAGGTGAACATGGATTGGAAGAGGAAATCAGTGACTAGTTCCTGACTACAGTTACTGATTGTATGAACAAAGTTTGTCCAGTGGCAAAGTTTTGTATTTCGGATAGGGTTTTTGCAGGAAAAGATAGTAAGAATCCATAAACGCTTAAAACCTTTGAGTGATGAGTACTTGTTATATGCATCTTTAATCAATTCAGATTATCATGGGAGATTACACTGTTATTGCAATAAATCCATATCGCATGTGTATATGTTGATGTTTTAATGCAAATTAACTGCAATTTTAATAGTGTTGTAATCACCCATCCATCCACCATCTCCATCGCTACAACTCATGACATTAAATTGTGTCCTTAATCACACAATGTAAACACCATGCTGACTTCAAGCATGTTTTATTTATAATCCAGGGATTCTTTATTCTAATCTGATTGCACAGCATTTCTCTCTCTTCCATTAAAACCAATAAAACATCCCTTTACAAGATATCGACCTAGTCTTAATGCTATTATTAGCCCTGTTTCAAAAAAGAGACAGATTTTCTTTAAGGTAATAATGCTGAGGGTACTCATGAAATCAAGACCATGTTTTGGATACAGTACCATTCATGGCCTGTATCTTTTCAACAAGAGCCATTCAGTGTATTTACATACTGTAATTACCTCTATAGGTAGATTTCATTGTTACTGGTCCACCACCCCTGCACTGGATTTAAATTCCCTTTACATGCACAAGGGTTTTCACAGGAAACAATGCATAGGCCTACGTACATATAATCCAGCATTAATGTTAATAATTTTATCTCATATGAGCCCCATTGTTTTTCCTGTTCTCCTCTTGAATACAGCATCAGAGCTGAACGAAATTACTGCAAATGAGTTTACCACTGCCGCTTCAATATTAAAATGTGCTCAAACTTGATGAAACTGTCTGTTTGACTGCACTGTAAACCGATCAACTAGTTGTTTCTTTGTTGTATTTATATATGACAAATGAAGTTACAAATCTGAAATCTTAACTAACGAGTTTGAAGTAAAATCCTCCATTACCTGGTTCTGTCGCCATCAAAATAATTTTGAATAATTGTATTATGTTTAATTATTTTACATATAGCTACTAAATGTTGAAAGGAAATTATTGTTTTTATTTTATTATCACTGTCTGGGATATGTCAGTGATTTAGCAACAACAGGGATTTTGATGCAATAATAACTTTTTTGTGCATGGGTTGAAATCATAGACGTATTATAGATGTAAGAAGATTTTGGCTACTTAGTACAAACTTGAGATACTGGCACTTCCATTTTGTAAGACAAGCATTCTCCTCTCCATTTGCAGGGGAGATATTTTTACTAGCTGCTACTACTAGCAACTTTGCGGACCGAGGTTAGCCTTTCTGTGCAGCTAACTATGGCAACAGCGGACAACTGTAGAAACTGCAGTATCGAAAGAATGGCCGCCATAAGCTAGAGGTCACCAGACCACCATGGCTGTAGCAGCAAAGTCCCTGAATGTATTGTAATGGCCAAGGATGAGATTTATTGCATATGAATTTAACTTCTTATTTGGGAGAAGAAGAATGTGTTATTTCTTCTTTCAAAAGTTATATAGTCCTCACACGACTCATACAATACAACAGTGTGTATTTCTAATGTTGTCTTTTAGAAAAACAGAAAACCTGAGGGATAAACAAGAAAAATATTTGATTTCTGTTCCTTAATTACATGTTGAAATATGAGACTTAAATGTTCAAAGGGGCATATTTCTCTCATAATATCATCTTTCCACAAGTAAACAAGAGAGAGGACATAAAGAGAATCAGTTGCTTTGGCTTTTACCTCATTTCTTACTTATAGCCTACAAACAACAGACAACAACAAACATTTAACTTGGTTGCTTTTAAAATATTCTGCCGGAAAACAGGATGAATGGAAATCTTTGGTAAATCTAATTTTGTGTGGGTTGAGAGAGACTCTGGGTGGGGCGGGGGGGAA